GGTTCATTTTATGTGGTATTATAAGTTGAACTAAATTCAGAAATTTGAGATCTTTAAAAAAAATGCTTGAAACTATTGTTTGAAGCAAGGTACAATTCCCCTATGATGAATGCTATCACTATGTATATATAAAATGTACCAATAAAAAAAATTCAAGGAAAAAAAAATGAAATGTCAACAACTTACAGTTTTTGAAGTTATCTCAAAAAGGGCAAATTATTTTGCATTCTATATTATATCAAATACATACTTTTAAATATCAGATAAAATTTTATCTAAAATATTTATGTTATTCTTTATAGTGAGCACAAACAGAAACCAACAGAATACTTCTGACTTGTAATTGGTGATGGTTACATGAACACAGTAGAGGAAAAATACTTAGGAAAGTCATGGTTGTTTACTATTTATGTGAAAGGATTTTTTTTTTTACTTCTCCCTTGAACTTTCCCATTTTATCTACGTTAAAAGCAAATTTAATTATAAATGTATGCATAATTTCCCACACTAAACAATTATCTTTTCTAATCTCTAGCATCCATCCATCAAAATGAGCAAAATAAGAGAACTCTTTGAAAAACAAGTTCTACATAAATCCTAACACATAAAGATATTAGTCTCATACTGTCAACGAGAAAAAAAAGAATCTAGCCGATTAAGTTTATCAAATATCATGCTAGAATATCTCAAAAAGTCAATGAATTTATCTTAAGAGGAATTTTGCTCTGTCAGAGTGGAGAACAGGAAAGCCTCCTATCTAGTGAGATCATTAACAGCCAGGGCTGTACCTAAGAAAGACAGCTCAGGTTTGAGCAGGCCCAGAGACACCAGGAAAAGCAGGGCGAGGGTGGGTGTTTCTTACCTAAATCACTGTTCATTTTAGGGGGACAAAATACAACAGAAATTGTTGAAGACATTTTATTGATAGTACTGGTCTCTGGGCTCGAACTTGTAAGCCTCCAGTCTTGGCCTCCCAGAATGCTGGGATTATACTGTGCCACCATGCCCAGTTAGAAACAAATTTAAACAATAAAATATGAGGACAGAAAAGATTTTGATTCTTGTCTGTGAAGCAACTTAAGGTCCAGTGCAGTGTCTGAGCTGTATGTTATAAGGCCAGGTCAGTAAGCTGTCTACCATCAGACCCAGGTCAGGGGGTATCTGAATAAATTTCTTCTTTGCAATTTAATCTATAGTATTACAGATTTAAGTATTTACAGTGATTTTATTCATAGTTTCTAAAAATTGGAAGTGGCTAAGCTACCTTTCAGTGGATGAACAGACAAGTGAATACAACCAAACTGCTGAAATGGACTATAAAAAGAATGAACTATCAAGCCAAGAAAACACAAAGAAGAAACATGCATATTACTAAATGAAAGAGGTCACTCTGGAAAGGCTATGAATAGTATGATTCCAACTCTCTGGGAGAGTCTGGAAAAAGCAGATCTACAGAAACTGTAGAGTTCTGTGCTTGCTAGTAGGTGCCATTGGCAGACGGACAAATAGGTGGAGCACAAAGGATTTTTAGGTCAGTGAGAATACTCTATACACCATTTTATAAAGTTGGATTCATGTGGCACTATACATTTGTCTAAACCCACAGAATGTACAATACCAGGAGAGAAGCCTACTGTTGATTACAGACTTAGTGATGCTAATATGTTGACGTACATTCGTTTAAATGTAACAAATGGACCACTGTGGTGCAGGATTTTGATAGCACAGGAGGCTGAGTACCCATGGGGAAGTCTGTAAGTGAATTCTGTGCATCTGCCTCTTAATTTGCTGTGAACTTAAAACTTGCTCTAAATGCAAGTCCTCAAAAGATATGGTATCTAACAGTCTGAGAAGCTGGGGGAAGC